TTGTAAAAATTGACAATAAATTGAGATTGCACAAATGGTTATATTCTTGTTAATTCAATTGGTTAAATTTGTCCGCAAAACTGAATACAAAATTCATCAAACATATAGTCATCCCTCAATTGTTCCAATAGATAGTTCCATCTGTTTCTCTTTAGGTATATGTTCCTTTTGTTTTTTTTCTATTTTATTTTCTTGTGGTTGACTCGACAAATAACACATTGAATTGACTTGCTGAAGTTAGAGATTCTTTAGTTCTCGTACAATTATTCGTTTGAAGATAGTTCACGGTTTAATTTGTCAAGATATAATTATATTGAACGAATTAATAGAATTTTTCTTACAGAATATAATGGAGTGTGTTGTGAATCCTGGATCGGTTGATCGTACACTTCTTCTCTCTCAACATGAGCATAAATCAGAATTGTTATGGAAATGTGAGATATCATTTAGTAGCCTTATGAGGACAGTGGGCATGAATGATGCCTGGAATTTATTTCGTTTGCATCGACCTCATGGACGTGTTGAAGAGATCTTACGTAGGTCAGGACTGTATGATGTAGTTTGTGTGGGCAGGATGCAGTATGACCGTGCCCTTGTTATAGCTATGGTTGAGCGTTGGAGGCCAGAGACTCATTGCTTCTACTTACCTTTTGGTGAGGTCACAATTACATTCCGTCAATCGATTTAACAGGATGACAAAACACAAACCCATCAATGCATGGTTTAAAATTCCAGAATACATAGTTGAATACATCTTCAATGACATCGATACGCCGCTCTGTTTTCCATTCAACTATTGTTCCGGGATTGAAGTGTTTCAAAGCTTCCATAAACCTCGGCAACTCGGCAAAAGAACCCTCCCAAGTACCATGGACTTTTTCAAAAGCACGCTTGCGATCAAGATAGGCTTTTCTTCTGCTTATCGAAATGCCATATGTTTTAAGAACGACTGTTTTACAGTCTTTGATGGGAAACTTGAAAAGTAAAAATAATATTAATTATCAAATAAAAATGAATATTTTCTTATTAAAGAAAAATCATCTAAGGATAAAATAATACCTTGGCATTTTTTCTATATCAACACGGAGGACGTTAGCAATCATCTCAACATCCAAGTTGAAATGTCCATCGCGGCACGTACCCATATCACATGTATGTTCTTTAATGTATCTTCCAACTTTCCACATGTTAGTATGTTTATCATTAAAGAAGTTATCCTAAATCGACATCCTTGTTCTACACGCCTGCAAACAGGTCACCATGATTTTTTTGTCGATTTAATAACAAAGTGCTCCCTTGCTATCTTTAAATGTAGAAGCCTAACTGCTCTTTGCAATTGCTTCTTTGAATTGAATAACATGACTTTTTCAAAATAAATAGCACCATTCATGAAATCTTCCGGTTCACGCCACGTACGTTGTGATGTATATTCATCATGTGTATCGCCAAAGATATCTGGACCATTTGGGAGATGATCAAGATAAGAAATTTCATGATTACGAAATGGACTCATGGACATTGGTCTTAGCGACTGATTGGGCATTAAAAAATCATCATCACTAGATGATGCCTCAAATGGAACATTATCTCCTGATTCCTCGGCATTAGGCAAATTATCACTATCACTAGCTGAAGGTGAGCCGTAATTTGGAAGGTCACGATCATCAATATTCACAGGATCAATGGGCACATTTTGTGTTATATTTTCCCTATATATGTAAAAAAGTATAAATATTTGTCTCGTTGCAATTAACTTACTTAAATAAAAAATCAAGTGTTGGACATACCGATAATCATCTGCATCAAAAGTAGGCGAGACATGAAAATTTGAGGATGTCCCAACATTTTCCGTCATTTCAAAGTGTGAGGACTGACCAAAATAATTATCTAGTCCATAACTTGGAGCAATAATCCTATCTTGCTGAGGTAAACTGCTATAAAATATATAATAATAAGAATAAGAATAAGAATAATAAATCATATAAATTAATAAATAATTGACAAAATCAACAAATAATAATCGAAATATAATTATTGAGCATTACCAGTCACTTTCATTGATAGTTTCGTTCAAATCAAAATCATATCGACCGGTAAGAATATTTTGATAATGAGTCATGTTAGGAAAATCAGTAGATTGAGTTATCATAAATCCATCAACGCTATTACGATTTTCTAATCGGGGATGTACATCGACCGATAAAGGAGAATGTTGTTGACTAATCTTAGGCTCCTTCCTAACATAGATTTCAAGTATTGTTAACTTGATTTGATCTATGTAGTCATTTGGAACCCTCAAAAAGTCGGTCAACGATTCGTCATTATAGATAATCCACTCTCCAAAATTTACTTGTCCTTGTGATAAAAATGAAGTAGGGTATTTTTCGACTATAATCAAAGTATAATCATTACTGTTTATACCCATTCTTTTATAAATTGATGAAATTTTTTTATGATATCGGACATTAATTGAATATTTAGCATTGTGTTTGGGAGGACGATTATAATAAACGGTATTTCCGTCATGTATAATTTCGCCATCCCAATAAATCGAAACTCTAACTTTTGGTTTAGAAGACATTTTTTTTTTTAGTATTTGAAATGAACAAATATAGAAGACTTTTTATGTTGTAGGTGCTATCAACTATGTTTGAACGTCCTTAAATAGTTATTGGAGGATTTTTCAGAATAAAAAAAATAAAAAAACATAATGTAATAATTTTTTCCATTTTTATGATATGTCAAATCAATATAATTGTATGACAAACACTACAAAAACTTCATAAAGAGATAAAAACGTGAAAAAATATTCCTCTTTGTAAAACAAAAATTTTTCTTCCACTTTATAAAGTGTAAGAAAAAGTTCCACTTTACAAAGTGTAAGAAAAACTTACACTTTATAAATTGTAAGAAATAGTTTCATTTTATAAAGTGTAGGAAATAGTTCCGTTATATATTAAAATATACACGTTATGAGACTAACGGAAAACGTTTAGAATATTAGATAAAGTGAAATTTTTTCTTCCACTAAGCCTATTTTAGTTACTTACTAAAGTAGTGATTTATTTTGGTCACTTTTATGTTTTTATGGCTTATTTAGGTTCCGAACTCTTTTATTACAACTCAGTAACAAAAATAAATTAAAATTTGATATCAAATAAAAATATGTCAAATAAATTGAAACGGAAAAATAACAACTTCATTTTAAAAAGTATAAAAAATTAAACAAGGACTATCTAGTGAAATTTCTTGAAAAAAATAAAAAAAGAGGTCAAAAACATTTTTTCAAACTTAAAACTTTTAATATATATAGTTTTTAAATAGTTTAATTTTGTTTTCTGTAGAGGTTTTTCGAGAAGTGTGCAATTTTCCGTGGAGGATAAAAGAGAGACCGTAACATAACACCAGTCGCCGGTCGGCGTTTGACAGACCAACTGAGAAATAACCAATCGACGAGATGGCCAAAATGAAGCATCAAAAATCCAAACCTAACAAACAATCTCATGTATGTATTTTGGATTACCTCAAATTCGTATAACTGTTTTCAATTTGTTTGGTATTGCAAAAATTCATTGTTGGCTACTTGGTGTGTATGATTTTTCTTGCAAACTTAGCTTAATAGGAGTAGATTTTACTTCACAAATTTTGAGTGTGTTTGTTTGTTATCAATATTCAGTCTATGTGCTGTTTTGTGTATGTTACTGTATGCGACAGGCTAAAAAGCACGGAAAGCAGACTGATATTTCTGAATTTCGAGCTCAGCTTGATGCATTGGGCTTAAAGATTATACAAGTGACGGCAGATGGAAATTGTTTCTTCAGGTTTGTACTTAGTAAGATTTTCCTTTTTCTACATATTGGTTGATCATTGCATGTGTAAAAAGTTACATGTTGAGTTTGGTATATCAAACTTCGTAAAGAGACTTCTGATGTTAGTCCCTGACTTAAAATACAAAACTTACAAAGAGCTCTTGGTGGATCATAAAAATATGCTGGTTTGGCTTGTTATAAATGAGTGAAGGTTCCATCTATCCATGTTCATAAGTCCTTTCACTTGAAGTAGTAAATGAGTTGAAGATAATTTTGGTATTCAATTTAGATATTAAGAAATTTGAAATATCTTATGTGAGAGGCGATCTCATTGCTTATTTTGACAAGTAGATGAGCATGATCAGGACAGGCTCTGGACGAGTGAGTAAGTGATGTGTTGGAAATTGTATCAGTCCAAGCACTGTTATAAACAAGTCTGTCTAACTCTTTCAAAAGGTGATGGGAGGATCTCTGATGTCACACCAAGTATAAGGAGAACCTGTGTATCCTGCATCTTGAAGACCACTATCATTGAGGCATTCTATGAAGTATAGATTTTCTTCCGGTCTATAACTTTTTTCTCCTTTTTTTTCATCACTGGAAGTAATAACCTTAAAATCACCAATTGGTCCCCAAGCTCCTTGAATGTTATTGGCTCTTTCTTTAAGATCTCGCCAAAGCTCCCTTCTTTGTTCCTCTGTGCATTTAGCATAGACTTTAGCATAGACTTTAGCATAGACAATGGTAGACGTATTGGAGGGTTGTTGAGGTAGTTAGCCTTGATCAGGACATGCTGCTCTCTATCTTGAATGATAGATCTACTTCAGAGGTCCAGTAAAGCCAGATTTTATTGGAGCAGTTGAAAAAACATTGAGGCATACCCAGTTTTCTTTTGTATTTTTCAATCTTCCCATTATCTGCCATTGGTTCTTGCAAACATAGAGGGATTTGAAATTGTTGTTTGAATGATTGGAATCTCTTAAGAGATCCTACTCCTGTTATATTCTATGATACTGTATTAATCATTGGGAACAATTTTTTTTTTTTTTTGATAACCGAGAAATTCGTCTGTGACCCGCCCTTTGGACCAATCACAGCCTTCTAAACTCGGTGGATAATGGGCCCGCCCCTCTACCCTTCTCCACTTAAATACCGGGCTTCGCTTTGCATGGTGTGGGGCTTGAACCTGCGACCTAAGCCACAAATCCTCCACCTTTTGCCACTTGAGCTAGGCCTTGGGGGCTCATTGGGAACAATTAGAGTTAGTATTTTTTGCTCTTCCTTATCTTTTTTTCTCATCTTATAAGCTTGGATAATATTTTTTTTTGATGACTGTGGTGTCCGGGCCAGCTTTCGCGCACCTCGACTAATTCCACGGGATACCTACTACCTACCACCAACAACAGGTACCAAGTAAGTCCATCAAGGCTAGGACAGATGGGAAGAATCAACTAGTTTTTTTGTCTCCACTAAGTTTCTGAAATGAGACCTCAGGGTTATCAACCACTTCATTGACCACTAGGCCACACCCTTGGATGATAAGCTTGGAAAATATCACCACCTGGATTCTGGTGATTTCTTGGTGAGAGGTTGTTGAAAAGCATGATGTTTTGTTGAACTAGAGTTCCATCATTTTCATTCATTTCTTGAAGTTCAGAGTTGATTCTTCTTCTTGTGAGTTCATCATCTGAATGTATCAAAGTACTGTATTGATTATTGAATACCCAGTTATTTCTTGGAATTTTCATGATACATGTTATAGTAACTGTAGCTGGAATAAAGGCTAAACAAATCATTGTGCTTATGCAGGGCATTAGGTGATCAGTTGGAAGGCAATGAGGAGGAGCATGAGAAATATCGAGCTATGACTGTAAAATTTATCAGGGTACGTGTTTCTTTAGAAGACTTTATTTTGCTTCAACATACTATCAAGTGAGATGGAATTATTCCCATGCAATCTTGTCCATTCAAGGCATGTTGCACTCAGGATATTCCTAGAAATAGTAATTCTGTACCTATCATGTTGGTGTCATTTATATTATGGTTGTGAGTATCCTGTTGCGTGAAAAAAATTAGGTAGAAGAGGGATATCGGGGTCAAAATAAAATTTTGGAGGGATTACTGAATAATTAGCAAAATCAGAAAGATAAACAAAGAAAAGGAAAGCCTGGAATGCTTGTGATAAATAGTAGGAGGGATTAGAAGGTCTAAAAATCAGACTGAACTAGGGATTCAGACACATGAAAGTTTACAGTTACTACCCAGGGTTTCATATCAGATCCCGAAAGAGAAAGGGTAGGAGCAAGGTTGAAGCTGTCTGTTTTTTGGATTCCAAAGAATAAGGTGATTTAGGCTTAAAAAAATATTATAAGGAGAGCGATCCAGTTTTATTCTCAAAAGGTCCTCATTTTTCTGTGGTATCTGTATCAGATATGATCTCCACATTCCTATCCAGACTATATAGCTTAAAATGTTGTTCACAAGTGATACACTTTTTAAGTCTATTAACATACTCTAAAAACCCTTAATTAAAACAAACAAAAACTCCTAAATTAGTTGAGAATTGAGGACGTATTCAGAGGGTTCATATAATTAATTCCAACTAGTTTGTTTCCGAGGCACAAATGATTAATATGATATATGATTTTGTGTAAACATTATGCAAGGTCATGATATTTAATTGTGTTGAGAGTCTAACTTGGATGGGATCAATTGCAATTCTACTGAGGTGTAATTCCATTTTGACAAGGCAAGAAGTAGCATCCACAGCTATTGACTTTTACTCCCTTTTCTTTTTTCCTTCTCAAGGGGCTACCTTTGTTCTCTTATTTGAGCTTATATCCCATTATTTGTCACCAAAGTCGCTACCTCCGTCAGTCTTATCATTGTACTCTGACAGATACCACAGTCTGTCCAGGAAGAACTGAGCCATCCTTGTGGCATTATTTTTTTATTTTGATATATACAGTAGATCTATCCTGCGACTAATGTGCAGGGTGGCTTGAGAAGGGTGGTAGAATCTCTGGTGACAGTGTTTTGGAGCCATTTCTTCTGTTTCAACTTCTATTGCAAAATCATTATTAATATTATTATTATTTTTAGAAGGGCGGTATCAGGTCTGCGTACACTCTACCCTCCCATACCCTTTTTTGGGACTATACCGTGTTGTTATTAGATATTTGGTATCTATATTACTTTTTTTCAGCTGGCTCTTTTGATTTAGAAATGTGTAGTCATAATTGCTAATAAACTTTTTTGCAACCTGTTTTAGGTATGAATATTTGTCACAATTCTTACTAATAGCAAAGCTGGAATAGATTGAAAATAACATAGATTTTTTGAGCTGATTGAGGAAACACATGCTTTCTTTAAGAATATCCTGTATTTTGTGATGTTATAGATGTGATTTCTCTTTGAGCCGAGGGTCTTTTGGAAACAACCTCTCTACCTGACAAGGTAGAGGTAAGGTCCGCATACACTCTACCCTCATGAGATCCTACTTGTGGAACTATACTGGGTATGTTGTTGTTGTTTGTTATTGATGCAATTTTGAGTGGGTGAAGTTTAAAAATATGATTACCGATGTCACATGATGAACTTTTGTCTTTGTTTTTGATTCCTACATCTGCTGTTACGTGTCATGAAGAGGAGCCTTGGAGCAACGTAAAGTTGTCTCCGTATGACCTATAGGTCATGGGTTCGAGCCGTGGAAGCAGTCACTAATGCTTGCATTAGGGTAGTCTGTTTACATCACACCCCTCGGATTGTGTCCCTTTCGTGGACCCTGCTAATGTGGGATGCTTTGTGCACCGGCTGCCTTTTTTATCTGTTGTATGTCATGTACTCTAGTACGTAGAACATCAAAACAATTTTTAAGGTAAACTAATAGTGGATCTATATTTAACAGAATAACCGTGATACGTTTGAGCCTTTTATTGAAGATGATGTACCATTTGATGAATATTGTGAGTCCATGGAGAAGGATGGCACTTGGGCTGGACATATGGAATTACAAGCAGCTTCTCTTGTTACTCATACCAATATATGCATTCACCGAGTACGTCTTCTCCCCCTACTTTATCCCCTCTGATAAGCGGTTCTTTATAATATAGAACAACTAGGTTTTTAAACATCAAAGTTGCTCACTTCCTAGTGCACTGACCTGATGTCCAAGGGATTTTTGATTGACTGATTATTTAAATCCATTGTGGACAGCATATGTCACCTCGCTGGTACATACAGAATTTTGACAACCGTGAATCTCGGATGCTTCATCTGTAAGTGTTGGAAAGAATATGAGATTTTAGTTTTCACTTGCTTATGCTTTTGTATGGTCTAGAGCCCCTCCACTGCATGAATTTCTTTAGTTTGTATATCATGAATGTTTCTTAGCTGGGATAGAATTGTTGGAGGACTGATACGACTCATTTTCATTAATACACTTAGATCATTTAAAATTGGCATTTATGGGAGATGAATTTTAGTATTTTAGCTGTTGGTGAAGAAAAGACATCTATGTGGAAATTGGAATAGACAATCTGGTACTTTATTGAACTTAAAAAGTTGTTTTATTTTTCCTCTTGGTTTACTTTCTCTTGGGACCAGTCTAATTTTGTATTTTTAACTACATCCATCTAGAGTAAAAAAGAGGATCTCATGAAGGTGGATGAGCAAGTTCTCTGTAGTGCTAATGCACGATATGCCCCAATGCTTGATATCTAGTTGTATCTCCTCTTTTTTGAAGCTTCTGTTCTGTCAAAGACCCAGTTGAGTGTTGCAACCTTATTCCTCCATGAGCACTCTCCTAGTTGTCACACTTGCTGTTTATTTCTTCACTTCAGAGTCTTCGTTTGTCTGGGAGTGGGAGTGGGGGTTGGGGTAGAAGGCAGAATAGATGTTTCGCTAGTAAAAACAGGTGTATGTAGATCATTCTCTTTTAGCTGTTACATACAAGCATTCTGAAAAAGTTCATGAAATGTGATGTAATTTTTCTAAGTACTTGATCCTGCTGCATAGACATCTTGGTCTCTCCCCCTCTTTTCTTGTGCATGCACACAGATGTTGCTTACAGGAAGGGGATCGGTGAAAACACAAGAAATTCATTTTATATATTTTTTTTAATTACTTTTTCTTAATCTGTGTTATTTTGCTTTGCTTTTCAAGTAGTTGTGAAGTTCAGAGCATTCTATCTCGTTGGTTTTTGAGAGACTTGAGGTTACATTCAGTATACCCCTTCTTTTCTCTTGTCCCAAGGCAAAACTTAAATCCTATATGGATAGACATGGTCTTGTGAAATAGCAGACAGTTCAAGTTTTATGAGAAGCTTGGCCCCCTCCTTTTTTTCCTCAACATTAATGTCTCTCTCTTTTTTTTTTTCATTAATGTCTCTTTCTTTCTCCATTATGGGGAGTCTGTCGTCTCTAGCTTTTTACTGTACTGTGATTGACAGACTGTTTTGGTCCATCTTCATTAAATAACAAAGCACTCTTTCAGATCATTTGGAGGTTAACCTCCACTTCTGATTTGTTAATAAATTATTGATTATTCACAGCTAGATTATAGTGGTGTCCTCTATAACCCTCTGAGATAATTGGTTGCCTGCTGAACTTGAAAAGGAGCATCTTTTGGCATTTCTTCTGTGCTTCTTTTCCCCTTCATCCATTACTTGTTAGGCCCTTCGTATATTTTGTACATATTTGCTGCCTGACTTACTTATTTACTGGCAGTTCTTATCATGACGGAGAGCATTACAATAGCATCCGGCTAAGGGAAGATTCTTGCACTGGACCAGCTAGCCCGATTATTATCAAGGTTTACAGCATTTCAATTTTTTATTTTTTTGTGATAGGAATAGCAATATATAACAATGAGTTAGGATTTCATGCAAGAATTCTAATAACCTTCAGTTATTTAAAGGCTGATGCTGATCTTTCAGCAAAATCTCGTGAATCTATAGCTGCTGCCAAGTCTAAGGGAGACACTAGTCGGAATATGGTTCCAGTAGGATCAGTCAAAATGGTTATGGCTGGAAGTGGGTGTGATAACAAACAAAAAGTGGAGCAGGTTATTTGCCGATCGCTCTCTCCTTAGTCGATGATGTCGAACTTGTTGAGCGTTAAAAGAAACCTACAGATCTCTGTACTTGATATGTGTTTCTTATTTATCTGTTCTTCTCTAGGTTTTACGACAAGTTGGTGGTGATGTTGATGCTGCAATAGAATTTCTAATCGCAGAACAAGGATCTGAGGACCAGTTAAATGCAAATGATAACATTTCTTCTCTGGCAAGCACTTCACAAGGTAATGGCAAGTCAGTTCTTTTCCACTTGCTTTTAAAATAATTATGCATATTGCGTCTCGCTGAGATTGCAGTCAATGTAAAGTCTGGTTTTCATAATCATCAGGGTGTCCCAAGCACATGAAAAATAGAAACAGGAAGGCTTGTTATTCAACATGACTTACATACTTGTGTCAACCTGGTAGATATTCAAATTTTAATGAATTTTATTCGAAAAATACAGACTTCTGTCCATATGGTAGTGGCTTGCCCAGGAATCAGGATTGACAGTGAAATATCTTTGGTGACACATTCTTCCTTTTCCCTTTTTTTCTACTTCTATTGGTTTTGAGTTTTGATGCCTGGTCATCTTATCCAAATTGACTAACCTAGTTTAAATTTATAGATTTTGTAGCTATGTGAGTAATACTCGGGACTTAACTTTAGGATTAGAAATAATAGAAGGAACTTTTAAAAATTGTGGTCAAGAGAGGAACTTGTTTGGCTCTTTAGATAGTAACTAGTTCAAACAAATGGACAGATTTCAGTACTATGTAACTAGGTTGCTCAGACTCGGCTGCGGGTGTCCTATACAGGTGTGGATCTAGAGGTCAGATCCTACATAATCTGAATTTTAAGATTTGGGAGCAACTTAGCTATGTAACATGTAGTCAAAATTTTACCTTATAGGAGCTAGAGAACCATTCATTTTACTTTATGCTTTGCTAGTTGACTTTCTTGACCTAATCGAAAAAGCCAAATAAGGTGGGGGGGGAGGGGGGGGGGGGTTTCTATTACTGGATAGCTATTTCCACATCTTCCAACTGCTATGAGAAATCTGTCTACAGGGAAGCTAATGTGCCATCTTAGATAGTGAGGGCTGTGGGACTTAGGTAGATAGCTTTTTCTCCTATACACTCATCACTCGGTAATGTTCGACGTGCAATCATCTGCACAGTAGCCCCTTTTTGGGGCTGCCTGAATGCATAGTAGAAGGAGACTATATTTTTTAATACCTTGGGTGCTAGATATGAAGATGAAGTATTCTTTTTCATCTACTTGTCAATTGTCATTATTGTCATAACTTTGTAGTTAGGTGGATACTCTTTTCTACGTTCTCTTTGACAATTGTTCTCACTCTGGGAAACCCATCCTTCATGCTTTGGTGCTTAGTGAGCTTGAATGTGTCTTAGCTCGGCTCTGTAAAGTTGACCTCTTACCATGCACCAGTTACTCCAGTAATATTATAGGGCTTGCTGAGTTGGGAAGAAACATCTTTAATGTTATGAAACCCACTTAATGCTATCAGAATCTTGTCACAGAGCCAGAGGAAAAAGTGATAATTTTTTGGTTGTGCCCATTAATTGACAGGCAAGATACATTCCGATAAAAAAACACTTGAAGTACCTTCCTATTGCGTCTATCATGGATGGGGAGAACTGGTACAACTATGCTTTCACTGTTGGTACCAGCACTATCTTCTTATACTTTTCGTTCTTTTTAGGGTCTCCAGGAGAGCATGCTATCAAATCTGGAGACTCACCTTGTAAAAAAGGTTCCTCTGACTGTAGTGTAAAAGGAGCTTCTGATGAACACACCTCCCAGGAAGATGAAAAGGTAAAACAACCTGAATCCTTTTGTATCTTTTAAATGTATTTTTTTTCCTTTAGTACGTATCTAATTGGAAACTTGACTTGGATTTTGTTACTTAAATAATCAAAGCTTCATCATCGTTTGATGCTGTAGAAAATTCCAAGAAATAAGGCCTGTCCCTGTGGTTCAAAGAAGAAATACAAGTCTTGCTGTGGATCAGTTGCTGGAAAACATCCTACTAGCTTTACAGTGTATGGTTGTCAATAATCACCTGTGTTTTTGTTTATTCCTAAATGTTGTTGAGGTTTCTTTTGTTAATTCTTTTTTGCGGCAAATTTTATTCTACAGCCAATGCCGTTAGCTTGTTGTAACTTGTGGGATGCTTTCTGCTTGTTCTATGCATGTGTTTGTCTTCTTCTACTATGCATATATTTGCACTAGAATGTATTTGCTATAGTCTACAAGGATATATTGGAGAGCTTTCGATATGAAAATTTTGGAAACTGCGCTCCTCTGTGCTAAAGATATATTAGTGGATTTGTGGGCTCTCCAATTATGAAGTTTGACAGCACAAGTATGACAATATAGCTATAAAGCTAAGAGACATGTATCTATCTTTCCAACTGTTTTCTTTTGGATTAAATTAAAAAATCGTCTATATAATGTTGGGTTTGAAGTCAAAATAATCAATTGCAGCCTCTTCTGTTTCCTAACTAGCTTAATGTTCTGGCCACTTGGATTTCTGATTCTCTTCATTTTCTCATGCAATGGTATATTTTTCAGCAACCATACAATTGATTATGGAAAGGATCGGAGAGACAAAAAGCAAGGAAAGAAAGTTCCACCTGTCAATGTTACGACTTCAAAACAATCTGATGCAAGGCCACCTGACATGGGCGCGCTTTGTATATAGTCAGTATTTTTGAGGTACTTTCTGGCTATAATTTGTTCTGTCCTTGCTTGTTTTCATTCTTTTTATCTTTACGGCCACTGATCAGGATTTTGGTTTTTGCGGCATATAGCTTCAAAAAGTGAGGCAACACTGGTTATCCTAATAGTTCAAATTTTGGTTGATTCCCTAGCTAGTTTTGTCAGTTAGCACAACATTATTTGCAAATATCATGGATCATGAAACCTCGTCTTGTATACTGTTGGTTAATTAATGCACAACTATGGGAAAACTGAGGACTCAAAGTAGATCCTGGTGTTAACCTATGGTTATTGGGAGCTTCTCTATATCGAAGGGGAGGGAGGAGAGGGGAGAGGAAAACCTGATAAAGAATTGGGAAGGATATTTCTGCCATGAAAGGAAGTTAGAGAAAAAAGGAAAGCGAGGGTGCTAGACTAAATAGGGGGAGGGGGGAAGGTTTGTTGAAGAGGTAGGGGCATGACAAGGGAAGGAAATAGATATGGTGGAGGAGGTGATAATTTCTGGTTGAATGGGAAGGGAGTTAAAGAGATAATAAGAAGATATTGATGTCTGCTAGTTGGGTGAGAGGGCTCGAGTGTACATGGACAGATTGAAGGAACTAAAAAAACAGAGAATAGAAATGGGAAATGTTTGCTAATCCTGTTATATGTAAGGGACTGTCTTTTCATGTCCTTGTAAGGATAAGAATCCCTCCTTTTTCAATATATTTGTACCTTATCTCATGAGAGAAGGAGAGTGAGGAACAGGGAAGTTCTTAAGAAGTGATGGAACAGTTTGAGATGGTAAAAGAGTGGGGTTGACAGGGGAAGAGAAGGCTTTTATATGAATAGATGCCTTAAGTTTAGTGATTGTGATTGATCAGTAGTATTAATTGGTACGCTTTGTCTTGTAGCCTTGTACATCGAGATGTTGCAACATTGGCCTAGTTTGTGGCCGATGATCGATATTATGAATTTGTCCAATTGGATATGGCTTATGATTAATGAGTAGTTAACAGTGGCATAAAGGCAATGCATTTCTTACATGTGTCATTGTTTGCACTATTGTGCTGATGATAATGATGCTGTTTTAGTGTATTCCTGTCCTGAATATTAAAAAATAGCATGTTCCTTCCCCATGGATATTTTAGGAACATCTTTCCCGCAGCTGCTGGGGTGAAGTCATAAATTGTTAAGTTGCAAGTTGCTGTAGTCCTGAGCTTTGAAAACTGTAAGTTAAGTTGGTTGGTTTCTTGCCCAGGAAAACCCTTTCCATCTAAGAAATTTGTGCATTCAGGTCCCAAGGATTGAGCCTGAAACCGCAGAAAAGCCAGCACTGATAATTCAGTCTGTCCTTTTTATACCGTTCCTGACAGGTTCCTTTGTGGCTCTTTGCTCCAGCCCCAAGTTTGTGTCTTTGGAGAACTGCAAATAGTAAACTTAAAACTATCAATCATATTGGTCAGCTCAGTGATGGCTTGTGCGGAGGAGGAATTGTGACCACGGGCATGGACACCCGCTAAGAAAACGGTAAATAAGACAAGCAATCAAGCTGGCACTGCAGCAAGCTCTGCTAGCCTCGTGCTCCATACTAATGTCGTCTCAACGTTCTTTCTCCGAATTTCATAAATTCCATGATATCCGTCTATATACACTTACGTCGTCATAGGGACTAAAGAGGATCCATTGTTTATATTCCCTTTGTACTTCCTATATGTCCAACAACAACATACCTATTGTAATCCTACAAGTGGGGTTTGAGGAGGGTAGGATATATGCATACCTTACCCCCTACCTTTGTGGGGTAGAGAGACTGTTTTCAACAGACTCTCAGCTAAAAACAAATGTTATCAAAACACAATAGGAAGATAAAAAACCAGCAGCAAAGTAGCAAGATAAATAGAACAAATGAAACATCAGGTAATAGTGAAAATTAGGAGAATAAGATACTACGCATATACTAACTAATACTTATAATGCTCAGCTACCTATTACCCTTCTACCCTTATCCTCGACCTCCAAATCTTCCTATCTAGGATCATGTCTTCACAATGCTGAAGATGTGATGTGTCATGTCATGTCTAATAATCTCCCTCTTGTTCTTCTTCGGTCAACCTCTACCTCTCCTAAAACCTACTATAGCCAACCTCTCATACTTCCTCACTGGTGCATCTATGCTCCTCCTGTTCACGTGTTCGAACCATCTCAGTTTGACTTCCCCTATCTTATCCCCCAGGAGGCCACTCCAACCTTCTTGTATAATGTCGTTCCTAATTTTATCTCTCCTAGTATACCCACACATTCATCTCCGCTACCTTCTTTTGAACATGTGTATTCTTTATTGGCCAACACTGCCACACACAACAAAGTAGGTCTAACCACCACTATGTAGAACTTACTTTTAAGCCTTTGTGACACTCTTCATCTATTAATCCAACACTGAACCTCTTTGTCATAAAGTAGATTTATGTACCTTTGAGTATAATAATTGAAATTGGATGAGGATATAGTCTTGGTGTGAATAAACAATGGTAACATTTCTCGGGGATTTTGCAGTTATCAAGAGAGAAAAAATGCGGAAACATTTCTTCCGTTTCATCTTGGTACCTAAGCAACTGTTGTATTAGAACAAAGTTTACCAAAGAGGCAATGTAAGCGTATTTCAGGTAAAAAAGTTAACAATGGGTTGACTCACATACTAAGGTTGTCAAGGTTGTCAATGCAGTCAAGTTACCAGTTTCAAAAAAAAAAAAGTTGTTAATGCAATCATCAATTCTTAGGGATTGTTTGATTGCTAGTTAGAGTTATGTAGGTAATAGTAATACATGAATTAGTTATGTAGGGTTTGCAAGGTTTAGTTATTCCATCTTCCATACTGCATAAAATAATACATAGATTCACTCATAACTTATATAATACTCCCTATGTTTGTTCTACTTTCCTTATGAGTCTGTTTAAAAAAGAATGTCTCTTTCCTTTTTTGACATCTTTTTAGTTCCAACTTTCCACATAACATGTTTAAGGTCACAAGATCTACATATTTTTAATTTAAGATCACAAAATTCAAAAGTTCTCTTTACTTTCTTAAACTCTGTGTCAAGTCAAAACATGACAAACAAATTGAAACGGAGGGAATATTAGTTATGCGGGATTCTAAATTGATAATCAAACACCGTATTTTGGTGTGTTGAAGTTTATATATAGCAAAAGAATGCTACCAAACATGGTACAAATTGTGCAGAATTTAATACATGAATAAATCACCTCCTAACCAACAACCAAACAACCCCTTAGGGGCCGTTTGGTTACTGGTTAGAGTTATGCAGGTATTAGTTATATAGGGTTTAGTTATGCAGGTATTAGTTATGCAGGGTTTAGTTATGTAGGTATTAGTTATACAAGTATTAGTTATGCAGATATTAGTTATGCAGGGTTTAGTTATGTTGAATTTAGTTATGCGGGTATTAGTTATGATGGTATTATGTAGAGATTACAATACATTATAATATTTATAGTAAATATTCTATCAATATATTGTATATATTGTTTATACATTTTTAATACACCAAATATATGAATTAGATATAAATTCACGTCCTAAACAAAATAATAATACATGTTAATTAAATATGTGAAATATATTTAATAATATATCACGCTAATATATGATTAACATATGCGCCGTCAAAATATATACCATCCAATTCGTAATATTAATAAAATATGGGCAAATTACAGAAATCACATACTTTTAAGGCAAAATTACAATTTATCCCTTAAAAGTTTATAATTACAGAAATCTCTCAAACGGATACAATAATATAAGCGCTGATACATTAATCATTAAGTAAGATACATTACATTTTATACATGATACACTAATCTGATGAACATTTTATACATGATACACTAATCTGATGCGCGAGATACACTAATCTGATGCGCGAAAATGAGGGATTTTGGAGATTTGTAAAACTTATAGGGGATAATGGTAATAAGTAAACTAAAAGGTGGGATTTCTGTAATTTTTCCATAAAATATTTACATTTGGTATCCAAATGTAATAAAAAAATAAAGGTTGTTCATGTGTTATAAATAAAAAATAAAAAATAGGAATGCAGTATAGTCAGGTTAAGTTCTCAATTTAAAAAAATAAAAATAAATCAATAGGGGTAAATATGTAATTTACTATTTTAATACATGTATAACTAATACCCGCATAACTTACTCCACCTTTCACCCCGCATAACTTATACATAGATTTCCTCATAAGTTATGTTGGTATTAATTATGTAGGACTACAAAGAATGTAACCAAACACCGTATAAAATAAATACATGAATAACTTTTATATAACTTTTAGAATCATACCAACCAAACATGGTACAAGTTTTGTTGACTTTTCTACCTAGTAAAAAACTTCTACCATGCATAGTAAAACTAATACAAATTTTTATACAATAAAATGGACTCTTATACAGTAACCAAGCGGTCCCTTAATCTTAACTCTTTTACCTGAGCTTCGCTCAATGGTTTTATATGTGGAACATGAGAATAAAATAAATGTTACCGTCACAGGTGCAGACTGAAACTGATAGCATCTGTCTTAAAGTTTTCTTTTGAAACTGTTAGTTTTGGTTGAAACAGTGCTTAAGATTAAGCAAGTGCTAGTATATATTTCTTTCATCCTAATGGTCCTATCAATATTTTAGCTAGTTTAGTAATCTTGTTCATTGGATGTATCAGACCTGTACTCACTGTTTTCAAACAAATAATACCATGTAGGTTTTCATGTTCATACCAATTTATCCTCGGCTTTAGAATATGGATGAGATGTCACAATTTCCCTGTGGCTGGCTCACAAACATGATTTCTTGAGGCTTGATCTCCCAAAGTACCGTATTTGATATTTCGTAGTTGCTGATTATTCCATATACTGTTTTGGAGGACCATCAGATCCTACAGTACTTTGTGATCCTCCAAGGACTTGATTCATTGGAAGTGGGAACATGGAGTGAGAATCCAAGAGGAATTCAATCAACTAATTATTGATTTGTGAGGAATGACTTCCATTCATTTTCAAGAGTACCTTGGTATTGGCTGGTGCAACTCGCAAAACCTATTTTATACTCTTCAGGACTTTTAACATATCTGGTTTCCGGTCCTATTTCAATTACTTAGTTCCTTTGGTTGTTTGGAGTGAGAAGTGAAAAATGGAACAAGCGAAATCGTTCTGGAGAACAGTTGACTTACGCAGCCAGATCCAAGCATTTCCTTGAGATAAAATATGGCGAGTATGAGAGAAATGTAATTGATTGCAAGTGAACGCTCGTTTGTGCCTGAACTGCCATTTTCCCCTTTGACTGGTGGCATTGTTAGCTTTTTAATGGCATCAGTTTTTTTTTTCCTAATATTTTGTTATGTTTAAGTTTTGCTTTAATGCATTGCTGTTGGTGTAGTTGAAGTTATTCCAACTGTGTGTATCATCCAATATCCACCAATATCTAGGATTTATATTATACATTATTGAGCTTTTGTCTAAAACTTATTTCATCGAACAAATTTGTCATTTAAAGGCCGTGTTTAGTTAAGTTACAATTGTGCTTTTGTCATCCGATAATTGGTTTAAAGTAGGGGTGAGAAAATTAACCCAACTTATTTGATATTTTTACAGGATGGGTTATGGCCTGTTTGTTGAGTTGACCATAGGGTTGAGCTCAAAAAGACCTATAAAAACAGAGTCAAGACGGGTTAAGGTAGTTCTCTCCAGACAATTTGCTATTAGGGCTAAGGTAGTGTACTCCAGATAAAATATAAGAATTAGGGGTGTGTCAAAATTGAATCGAAAAAAATGCTATTGGCTTATTGCTATTGGTTTATGGGGAAATTTCGCAAATAGCCACTAAAAATAACTTGCTTAGGCTCCATAGCTATAGTTTGTCAATTACGATTCGTAGATACATGTTAGAGGGAGGAGAGAGGCGGCGAGATTAAGAGAGGGAGGAGAGAGGCGGCGAGATTAAGAGAGGGAGGAGAGAAGCAAGCGAGAGAGGGCAGAGAGTGGAGAGAGGTGAATTTTATTTGTATATATGTTAGATAATTGTATATATGTAACTGGTATACATATGTATTTGTATATCTGGCGAGCGAGATTGGGAGAGGAGGAGAGAGGCGAACGAGAGATGGCAGAGAGTGGAGAGAGGTGAATTTTATTTGTATATATGTTAGATAATTGTATATATGTAACTGGTATACATATGTATTTGTATATCTGGCGAGCGAGATTGGGAGAGGAGGAGAGAGGCGAACGAGAGATGGCAGAGAGTGGAGAGAGGTGAATTTTATTTGTATATATGTTAGATAATTGTATATATGTAACTGGTATACATATGTATTTGTATATCTGGCGAGCGAGATTGGGAGAGGAGGAGAGAGGCAAGCGAGAGAGGGCAGAGAGTGGAGAGAGGTGAATTTTATTTGTATATATGTTAGATAATTGTATATATGTAACTGGTATACATATGTATTTGTATATCTGGCGAGCGAGATTGGGAGAGGAGGAGAGAGGCGAACGAGAGATGGCAGAGAGTGGAGAGAGGTGAATTGTATTTGTATATCTGTCGTTTAATTGTATATGTATATGTATAAGAGAGGAGAGAGGAGAGAGGCACACATAATTATAGCTAAAAAGAGGTTGCGAGTGGTAATTACTTTAAATTATAGCTATGTTAGCTAATTAAGTAGTATATGTTTAATTATCCGCTTAATTTCCCTTGGTTTATTGGGTTAATAGGTTAACGGGGTTTTAATAGTTTTGTAATAAAATTATCGGATTATCAGTTTGGTTTTGATTTTTAATAGTGGGTAAACTTGCAACTCATTAAGACGTAGTAATTTACTACTTTATCTCTACATAAATATTAAATATTAGTCTCCGTACAATACTAGTTACTCCCTTTTCCCTTTAACCTTCAATTCACACTTCACAATGGATTTGAGTTCACAACTTCACATTATACAAAGGGTCAAAACTTAAAGTAAAGACCTTATTCCTCTTAATTTCTCTTTGTGTTGCACATGCATAGTTTTTTTCATGTTAGTTATTATTATTTCTGTTTTATGAGCGTTCTGTAAAGTTACTTTATCTTGTTGTGTCATTATTGGACAAGCCATATATTTATTTTATAAGCATTTTCTTATTGGTTAAATAAAAATTTGGTCCGTTAAGGACCAAAATTGATAAATCGAAAATCGATTAAAAATATCTTATTAGTTTGGGTATTGATTTGGCATATTTAAAAAATTGAAAACCAATATTACATAAAAAGTGAATTGAACTGATCGACGCACACCCCTAATAAGAATACAGCTAGTACAATAACATATACCAACGAGCTTGAACCCTTGAAAGTAGGGCAACAATCCACTACTTACTAATCTTCTATCCTAAATGTGACCTCCACATCTTTCCATCTAAGGTCATGTCCTTGGTAATCTGACATGTCTTGTCTAATCACTTTTCTTCAATGTTTTTTTGGCCAACCCCTACCTCTCCTTGTGCTTGTTACATCCAACATCTCCCACCTCTTCACTGGGGTGCTGTTAGAGGCGGACCTACATACAAAGTTGTGCACTTGCATCCATTAACTTCGAAAATTAGAATATGATTAATAGTGTACCCATGAGGAACATATGAATGTCCTTGTGTTTTTGATACATGTTAGAGGAACCGCCTGTGAGACTAGGGTTCAAAGATAATATTGATGCATCGCCTAAATTAAGATAATATTGATACATCCAAAGTCTTCAAATCTTGGGTTCGTTTTTGACAATAAGGACTCTAATTCGTTTAAGGAGGGAACACTGGATAGATAAGCTTTCTAAGCACTGACGAACAAAAAATACATTATAAATCATGCAAACATACTATAAATTATGCATATCAGTACTAATAAAAAATAGTATAGTATAAAGATCATGGGAATATAGATTGGTATAAATAAAAATTTAAATAGAACTTGTTTACTATTATTCAAGTGATCAAAATTTTGAATTGTTATTATGATAATAAATCACGATTATTGATTACAAATTAAAATTAAGATAACTGGCAATGAGCAAAGGTTACTATCAAATCATATTAAAATAAGTCTAATAAGTACTAATTACATGATTAAACATTAAATAATTATTAGAATTAGGTTTTGTATTTTAAATGTCTAAATCAATGTAAAACTAAAGAACAAAAATTCAACATTATTGCCATTTTTAGTGTTGAATTAATTGTTTTGTTAGCATTAGTATTGATTTAATTTTGATTTGTGTAATGACCGATTGGTCATTTTTGGTTTTTCCATGAAATTTACCGTTTTGCCCTCCCGTGATTGACCCCGAGTCTTCTATGTTTGAGTTTTGAAAAGTTGGTTTTGAACTTTGAGTTAAGAGTTGAGAATTTGGCGAGTTTTGAGATTGAAAGACTAAGTTGTTAAGAAAGTGGTTTTTGGTGTCCTTTGGAGTTTCGAGTGTCGGAATGGGATTCCATCAGTCCCGAAAGGTGAAATCTGATCCGTGAGAGTTGTTGGTTTCTGATTCCGAGTTTTTTTGAGGATTTGAGGTCCTAAGTTGTGAAATTGTGGAATTTTAGACTTTGGATTGACTTGTTCAACATTTGGGGTTCTGATGCTCGGATCGGATTTTTGAGTTTTGGGAGCTTTGGGATGACAATTTGAACCATGTTTTCGAGGAAAGACTTTTGGGTAACGATTCTTAACTCTAAATCTTCAATTACCCATTATTATTTATGAATTTATGTGTTCAAATCAAGCTTCCGAAATGAGAAATTTGGGTTATCTTCAAGAACTTAGTAAAATGGTGATTTTGAAGTGGTTTTGACCCCTTTTTCGAAATGGTTTTCTCTAATGAGTTCCTAAAGCTTTAAACATCATTTTCAAGTATCGTTTTCCGTATTTTGAAATTGGGTTTTGAGTTGTTTGACTCATTCTCTACATAATTGATGTGGTAATTGTTGTTTTCGAGGAGTGATTGTAAATACTTGATTATTATAGATTGTGTGGCTTTAGAAGTGATTTGAAAGGGGAAGACTTAACTCTTGGGGTGATTATTGATTGATTTAAGGCAAGTGACTTCCTAAACCTCGTATTCTAGTAGAATTTGTGTGCTTCCTTCGTTGCTTGTTTATTGGGAGTAGTGGGGATGAGGTGAAGGGTTTAAATTGTCCACTTGATGCATCTAAACGAATAAAAAAGGGAATTAAATGAAAAGGGCTATGTGTTGAACATGATGATGTGAATTGTCTTATTATGACCCTTGTTGATTGATTGATGAAATGCTAGCATGAATGTGAACTTGCTAGCATTGATTGTGAACACCATGATGTGACATGTGATTATTTATGATGCCAAGGTCTTTGCCGGCGAATGTTGTGATGTTGAAGTCTTTGCCGGTGAGTGTTATGATGTCGAGGTCTTTGCCGGCCAGTGCTATGATGTCGAGGTCTTTGCCGACGAGTGTTGTGATGCCGATGTCATTTCTGGCAAGTGTTTATAAAACCGATTGGAAATGATTCCAGCTAGTGATTTGATGTAAAACCGATGAAAATGGTTTCGACCTGTGATTTGATGTAAAGCTGATGGAAAATGTATCTGGCTAGTGATTTGATATAAAGCCGATGGGAAATGGTTCGGCAAGAGATTGATTATTGTGACTTGATGCTTTTGATGCATATGTGTGACTTACTTGTTAATTGTGATTATGTACTTGTGCACTGAACTACTTGATATTGAGATTAACCTATTTGATTTGTTGAATTGTGAAGATTGAAATGTGTATATTGGGCCTTGTGAGACATATATTGTAGAATTGTTAGGTTGGACTGATTTCTATGCAGGTAGTTTGAGGAGGTTCGATTGAAGAATAAGGGGTATTCAATTTCTAGCTAGTTTCTTTCTTTAGTAGGTTGTTTGTTGTGTACCGTGTTGTTGGTACTCACCCCTTGCTTCTACTTGTGTAGGTTCCGAGGTCGGACCCGTGTGATCTTCTTCTTCTTCTTCTCTTGGCAGTCGAGGCTCGTTGAAGGATTTCAGATGTAGCTATTGTTATCTTGGCGGACCTTCTTTTTCTTTTAAGCTTTGTTCTACTTGAGAGACAAAGACTGAAACTTGTATTATCTTTCGATTTTTATATTTTCATTAGTGTCTTGTACACGTGACAACCAGATTTTGAGATATTGTTTAGAATGAATGAGTTTTTCGTCTTTGTCTTGTTCTTGTTTTACTGTTTTCTGCTCTCTTTTTTTGTTTTCGTTGGGTTGAAGCTGAGTTGTCTTGGTGGGAAAAGACAAGTGTCATCACATCTATTTTTGGGTCATGACAATTTGAACTTTATTAGAGTTACTAATATCTATGGACTATAACATTTATTGGACCATTCAAAATTCTAAATCTAGAAAATTTGAAATAATATGTTAAAATATAAAATTATGAAAAAATATAAGAAATAT